CTGTGAGTGCCCCTCGCTGCTGCGCTGCCCGTAAAACATTCGGCTGCGGGCCGGTGTGCAGCGGAGAAGTGCCGGTATCCGCGGCTCCTGTCTGAGCCCCACCTCAGCTTGCCGGTAAATGTTCTTAGGAGAGCTTTCCTGGGTAACCCTCGGAAACAAGAAGCTGAATAAACTAGGGCCGCAGGGAAGAATCGCATTGCTAATTCTCAAAACCCCGACCATGCCATGTTGCATGGCAGGCACGAGTAGTAGCACACCAAGTTTGCTTTATGTTCTCGGGCATCTAATTTAGCATCTGTGGAGCTCGTTTGCTGTTAAAAACACACAAAAGCAACACTTAAATAAATACATGCTTTCAAAGGACCTACGTGTAACACCACCAATGTCTTGGTCCTCCAAACGATTACACAAACACAAAGGAAGGAGAGTAACGAGGTGCCTTAGAAAGACAGACCTTGCTGGAGTATGGGGGTAGGGACCGCAGGCGCTCGAGCGCAGCCCCACAGCCTGTGCGTCAGCACTGACCGCAGGTGGGCAGCAGGGTGGGCACAGGCCCCCAGTGAGTTCGGTCACTGAGGCCAGTCAGGGCTCCCCAGGCCATGGCAGCCTGTGTTGCGTCCCCTGTCACTATCTTCAGCGTGGAACAACGTCACTGTCAAAGAGTGTGGGTCAGACTGCAGCCTCCTTCGACTGCAGCGTCGAATGAACACTGCCAGAGCTTACTTCTAGTAGATGCTTCCTGCTTGACACCAATCCTTATGAAATTAGGCTGTCTGAACTAAACACTGTCTTTGCACAAATTGCAGACCTTGGCACCAAGGTAAACCATTTGAAGAGGTTTGAGTTGCTAGGCAGTGAGGTCTCAGCTTGGAAGGATTGTACAACTTCTACAGCACAGTCAAACGATGTGCATTGTACCATTTGCAGGCCACTGGAGTTAAAACCCTCGGCTCCTTGACCTTGGGAAAACAATCGTTCTCCATCACAAATCCTTTATTTTCACCGTGTATTTCCATGTACCCTTTTGTCTCAAATACTCCTTTGTCATCTTCAATTTCTCTAGTTTTGTCCCTTGATTGTACTTTACACCCACTTCTCAGTATTCAGTTTCTCAGCACACACTTTCAAATGTTTGCCTTTACCCAATACTCAGATTTTGCAAGGAGTAGCTTTTTATCAGAATTCTAGCAATTATCAAATCAGAATTTTAGCATTTTATTCTCCAGTTTACACAACTGGAAATAACTACATGGTATTTGAGAAGGTAGAGAGTCAAGTTTTGTGTTTGTCCACAATTTGATACATTTCCTATGATATCACCCATTTTTCTTTGTGGTTTTAAGATTTTTATAAAAACAATTTTGAGATTAAAAGGATATATTCTTTTACCAACAAAAGTGATTGGGACATTCCTGGCTCAAAACATTGTACTCCTTTAGAAAAAAACCTGTAAGTTATTTAGTGCACGGAGCCCAAAGACGCTCCTATACTATATACTTCCAAATTTCAAGCTGTCATTTATGTCTCTCATTACCCTGGATGACCACTGCGTGTAGTACAATTGACTGTCTATATTACCCCATTCATATCATACCAATTTTTCTTTGCATTTTCATTGCAGAGTACTGTTTTCTCTCCCATGAATGCCCAGAATTTTCTAACAGCTTTGTGGTTAATTCTTCTGGTCATTCTGCTCCAGCTAAACGTTTTAATGTTCTTTTTTTCAAAACTAGTTTTGTTTTTTATGGTATATTGAGAACATCCCTCAGCAAACTGATACCTATGTACATTTATCATTTGCACCAATTCTTCCTTCCTTTTCTGAAGAGATGCAATTAGCCAATACCTGTGTCTCTCATTCATTATAGCAAGGTCACTTTTCTTCAAGGATGGACTCTAATGGGCAGAACTGCCATAGACGTGTAAAAATAGGACATTACAAATTAATTTCATTATTAAACTGACAGGTTACCTGTGTTTTTAACTTCTAAATTCACTACTGTGCAGAATCTATTATTCCATTTAGGATACTGATGACAATCAGTGTTATCAGCACAATAAAATAAACACAGATTTAGTATTGAGGTTAAACTCTGGGAAATGTATTGAGGTTACATTCTCTGTATCTCATCTGTGGGCACTGTCCTGTAATTTTGGGTTTGCTCTAGCGTTTATTGAAGTAATGGAAAAACTTACCATCAGAAGTTATGGTGGCTGAGAAGGCTGGTTCATAAGATGCTGTCTAACATATGTGGAGTGTCAGGCTTTATCAGGATCTTTTACCTGCTGAGATATTGTGGTATTAATATTAACAGAACTTCTGAGAGAGAAACAACTTAGAGAGAAAAAAAATGCTTGAGGTTTCATTGAGAATATGGAAAGAATGGGGGCTGGGGGGTGTTAGTATTTGTGCTACCTCTATGAATGTTCAAAAATCAAAGGGAATCTTACAAATTAGGCTTATAAAGGAGGCCTTACTTTCAAAGGTTGCCTAGAACATGTGCCAGGCCTTTCAGACAGGTTGGCTACTTTCTCTGCCTACTGCGTATTACCCTTGTTCAGCTGTACTACGTGACTAATAGGACAGCAGACGCCTTTTACTGCCTGTCTGCCCCCAAGCAGGTCATCTTTCATGTGGTGTGTGATGCCATCCAACGCATAGGTAGATCTACCTAAATAGATTCAAGATGATTACAGGAGAAGCACGAGAATCTCACTACTGTGGTCAATAAGCCATAACATTCTAAACTGGGACCATCAATATGGCTTAAAATTACACATAATTCCATTGGTCCTTACTCCATGCAATGTGTCCCAGACGAGGCTTGTTATATCTACAAGCAACCACAAGGTGACAGGCAATGCTTCCAAACAATTATGTGAAGCCTGGCTAGTTAATTGTTTGGATGGTGATATACATAATAAAATTCCTAAATTATTATATGGTCAGTGGTCAGCTTTAATACTGACTGATAAATACTTGAAATTTCAGAAACAGAAGAAGCCTGACAGGAGCATGCAGTGGTTGCATCTTAAAATCATAAGGACTGAAAATACTGTAAAACTTGCTTTCCTAGAAGCTTGGCAAAATATTTCTGTTTGCTGCACAACAGGTAAAGTACCCTTAAGAAAACTGCAGATAAGGCCACATGAGCAAGGCCATGGACGCATTATCAGTTGGAAGTAATGGAAATAGAAAAAATGCGCTAAGAAAGAGGAGAAGGAGAAGGCAGCTTTTCTATACACAGAATTTATGTTGACAGCAAGCACAAAAATAAGACCAAAAAGCCCATGTATTAGGCAGTATTTGCATAAGGGAGGTTATGTAAAGTGTGATCCTCAGTGAATGATTCCCAGTGGCAGAACACCTCCACCAGCACTACAGTAATCTCCACTGCCAAACCTGCTTCATGCAATGGACGCTATACAGTGTTTTGTTTTCCTTGGACACAACTTAAAGATTTAAACATGCAGAAGTATTGTTATTCTTAACAGTGACATATTTATCTTCATAAAAAAGGTCTTATTCTGTAACCTTTTTTTTACCTTTTGCATATGGGATTACAATATATTTACAGAAACATGTTTTCTAAATGTGTAGTTCCATTGCATTGTAAAGCTAATATTTTATGAAAGAGTAAGTAGTGGAGGGCATTTATACTGTGCTTTGGGTATGGCCTCTGAGGAATACAACATTAAAGTGTACAGAAGACTCTTTGTGTCCTGTACCAGTTTGTACAGATGATTTCACTTTGATCAGCTGTCTTCTTCAATGAATTATTTTTTGCAAAGGGGTATCTTTGAAGATCAGTTACAGAATTAAAAAGTAACAGTAACTAAGCAATTCTCAGTCTCATCATTACGGTTCAGAAGCTGTTAACAGTTGTAAAGGGCTAATTAATGTAATGTAATCCTCTTAGGAGGCTGCAGGCACTGAGCTAGATTTCTTCATCATTTGTATGTAGGCCTTCTTTATTCCATTAGAATGACAATAATTACAGAGAGCAGTATGTATTTGCATTCTATCC